AACCAAGATTCGATTGAGCTTGGAATAAAGAGCTCTCTCTCTCTCTCTCAAAACGGATTCGCTCCATTTTATTTTATTTATTTTGAAAAATCAGAAAAATGTTTTCTATTTTAGGAAGGTAACTTAATTGTGGGCTTTAATTATTGTTATAAAATATAACATGCTAAATTTTAACATAAAATTAACTTTATTAATTATTTTTTTGGGGCAATCTACTATGAGAAAATACCTTCTAATAGCCTAAAAATAATGACAATTAGTAAGATTAGGCTAAGAAATGAAAACATTTGGAAAATAGTCTTCAAACAATAATTTTTCCAAAAATACCCCTTATAGAGAAATTGCAATCAAAGTCACCACAATGTATAAAAACCTTCAAATAGATCCCCAAAGAAATATAGATCATAAATCTTTAATAAATTTAAATCCAAGTATTATAAAAAAATTTTATTGATTTAAAAAATACAACAGAAGATGAATTAAAATATTTAGAAGAAGATCTGAAAAGATTCTTTACAAAATATTTAGATCCAAAATTAAAAAATAAAAATGTTTCTATAGATAATAATATAATCAAAACAGAAAATGATATATATAAACTGATTCTTAACCTAAGAAGAAGAATTAGAGATTTAAATATAATTATTGAAGAAAAAGTTTTAATAAAAAATAGTGAATTTTACAAATTTTATTGTGACATTTTAGATACTTATAAAGATTTTAACTGGAGTAAAAGTTTTAGCCCCTCCGCTGCACACTCCGATGAAATGGTATCAGAGCCATGTTACGAACCAAAAATAATGATGAATATAGTAGATGAAAAAAATATAATAGAAGAATTTTTGAAAAAAGTTGAAAAACATAAAAAAATCTAGTTATCCCTATTTACCTAAAAATACTACAAATGAAAGTTTTGAGGATATACATAAAAGATTAGAAAATCTAGAATATAATTTACAAGTAGAAAATGCTTTATTAGATAAAAATCTTAAAGGAAAAGATAGAATTATAATTAATCCACCTCAAAATTTTAGGATAATTAAAAAGGAAAATAATAAAGGGAAAAAACATGAAGAAAAACAATATATGATTACAGATGTAGAAGAGATAAAACAAAAATTCTTAGAATTTACAGGTGAAGAGTATGAAGAATATAAAAAACAGTTAGAAGAATTAACCGAAAAAATGGAAAATACAAAGATGAATACTAATCCATATTCAAGTCAAAATATAAAAGTATAATTTAGTAGTGATGAAGAACAAGATTATCCTTATGGTACCCCAATACCTGATAAGGCTGATATCAATCAATATAGAAAAATACAGAAAATATATACTGGAAATGTAAGAAAACAATCCATAAAAGAAATAAATCCAATGAAGTCCTACAATGAACCAATCCACACGACAGGAGTATGGTTAGATTTAGATTGTGTAGATAAAAGTAAAGCTATTGAAACATGGATGAAAAGTACAGATTTAACAATACAATTTAATAAATGGGAAACATATACAGCTTTTGGATTTATAGAACATACATTCAGAGGAATTGTTTCTGAATGGTGGAGAAAATTACCAGAAATTATTAAAGGAATAATAAAGTATGGAGCAAATAGAACTGAGATATTAGATAATAGAAATACTCTAAATGAACAAAATATACAGGAAATATTAAAAAGATTTGAAAAAATCTTAAGAACAGAATTTTTAGGAGATATTTACACTTCTAATGAAGAAGAAAGGAAACAAGATGAATATAATCAAGGAATGATTGCAATGGAAAATTTAAAGATATGTGATATGTTTGAATTAGAAAGATACACATGTAAATTTGAAGAATTATATTACATATTAAATCAAGGAGATTATCAGGAAAACAAACCTATATTAAGATCTTATTTTACAAAATTACCATTCCCATGGGGAATTAAGTTATTAAAAGAATATGAGAAATTATTACCTCTAGGAGAAGAGGAAGGAGTTAAAATAGATAGTTTTAGAAGTAGAATTTAATTTACAAGAAGAATGATAGGCATGTGGTGTAGAGAAGCACTAGAAAATAAGAAAGCTTATAAAATAAGAAAGAATTCATTATGTTGTTATAAAGATAATGGTTAAATTGAACAATTTGGATGCCATAAGAAGAAATATAAATCATATAAGAAATATAAAAGAAAATTCAAGAATAATAAAAAATTCAATAAAAGGAATTTTAAACCACATAAAAAATATTTCAAGAAAAGAAATTGGAATAAGAAATTTAAACCAAGAAACATTAAAAAACGTAGATGTTTTATTTGTAATGAAGAAGGACACATTGCCCCTCAATGTCCTAAAAAGAAATATAGACAAAATATAAAAAATCTTAGAATTTATGAAAAATTTCAAAAAGATAGTGATATAGAACCAATTGAATATTTTGAAGATCTAAGTAGTGAATGCAATTGCATTTATGAATTAGATACATCCTCATCAGAAGAAGATTATGAGAAAATAGTATATATGAATCAGGAGATACAACAATCCGAAATTGAAATAGAAACAATTGAAGAAGTTGAAGATTCTACAGAAGGTATTAATCAA